CAAGTGCTTTAGAAAACAGATTGCTAAAAAAATTGCTAATGTAGAACTGGAGAAAGAAGGCTTTTTCCTCAATAGAGAAAAGAGGAAATTCAAGAAATGCCAGACGCTGTAATGGACACGTGCTTTCATAAAGCGGAAGGATCACCTGTGGCTTGGTACTGCTCTTCTCTAAGCCAGTACTGCACATATGGACAAGTATTTATGGGTTAACAGGGTGTGCTGTTTTCACTTTCCCAAGGTTTGAGCCTATTAACTGGTGCGCATGAGCGTTGAGGTACAAGCAAGAACCACTGGTACCAGAACTGTAACAACTGTGAACAGAATAAAGGCAGCATTATCACCGAGGTAGCCAGCATTGTTGGATTAAAGAGCACGGCTGGTTCCCGAGTGAGTAATACTGTGTCTCCAGCCCACAGGGCTGTGTGTATCTGCACCCTGGTGCCCCAGATCAGCCACGTCAGGCGATGCCGCAGCTCCCTTCCAGCCCACGTTCCTGGGGGTTTGCCATGGAAACTGGGTGATTACAGCTGCACTGCGTGGGTTGGGGATGGAGTTGGGGTGAACAATGGACCCAGGAATGGGGCTGGAGCCAAAAGTGAGGTGGAGAGCTGGGCTGGTGCGTGGTGAAGGGCCGAACATGGGCTTTCAGGGCCCATATAGACAAATCATATAAAGGTCCCAGTATTAATAATCAATCATTCCGTAATTAGCATTAAATATGATCATTTCCAGGACCGGCCCCGTGGAAACCTAGCAGTATATCAAAGAAACGTGAGAAGAAGTGAGCTAAAGTTTCCGTACATAGCAGGCCCTACACTTTCCATAGGCTTATGGAAAAGAGTGAGAGCTGGACTGAAAAGGTCAGTCATGCTCTGCAACAGCCGTTGATGGAGGAGCTGATGCTGGCGTAGCCATAGGTTTAGCAATTAACGGTGTAACCCCCATGAAAAGTTAATTCCTGCATAGACTCGACCCTGACTCACAGGCTTACGGGGGAGAAAAATCTAGAAGCAAGAGTGGTGAAACACCAGAGATGGTGAAAGGAGGGAGAGAAGACTGAACAAAGTAGGGAGGGGAAGAGGAGCTTGGGGAATGAAGGAAAGGACGCAGGCAGGACACCGAGACATCTCGCTCCATCACGGAGGACAAGGAAAGCCAAAGTGCAGCAGGAAGTGAGAAAAGAGGGTTCAGCAATGACATGTGGAAGCACGTTTCTCTGAGGAAAACCAAACAGGAGATCTCTCACTGAAAAGTGTAGCTTATCTGGCTTTTTTTTCTCCATCTAAATCCCTTGGAAGATGACAGCCCTGTGCTCCCCCAGTTTGGATGTGCAGCTGCTCACAGCAGGTTGCGAGGGGCTCTCAATTTCTTGAGTACTGCAGGAAAACTATGTTTTAGAGAGGCTGGGGAGGTCATCCTCTGCGGTGGGTGCCACCATGTGAGCACAGAGACGTCAGGACTGGTGAAGCGAGCCCTGGAAACCCTGTCCCATGGCTGTGAATAGGCGACTGGGATTGACAGGGATGCTTTGGAAAACGGACAGATTTTGGGAGACTCTTGTAAAAGGATGTCGTTACCTGGAGACACATCTGACAGGGGCAGCTCCTTGGATGGAGCACATGGGCTGACAATCTGCCCACCTTGTACTTGATGGCTCACTGCCTTGGTCCCTTCTGCGTAGTTGCAGCTGCGGGCAGGGGGACGGAGGGGACAGGGACAGGGAAAGTGTCATGTCACCCCACACCAGGCCTGCATGGAGAGTGGCTTGGGCAGCCCTTTTCGTCTCTAGAGCCTTTCACTCACCCATTAAGCAGGGTTTGCAGCAGGGGGGGATCTCAACCCACGTAAAGACAGCATGGATGTTTTGTGTCTGGACAGCAGTGAGTCCAAGCGCAAACCACGTGTGATCTGAATATCCTCCAGTTACGCCATGGAAACTCTAATAAAGCTGCTTCTGAACCGCATATGTGGAGCAGGAGCCAGGACCGGGAGACAGAGGCACTTTTTTTTACACCTCGGAAGTGCTCACTGGGGCAGGTGACATCTGACCAGACACCACCAGATCATCGGGCCAAAGGCTCAAGCCCTGCAGCTCTCTGAAAGGCATGTCTGCTTTTAAGGGTTCTGTGCACAAAGTGGTGTTTGTTGACCTCAGCAAACAACTTAGCAGAGAAGGCAAAGCAGAGCTGTGCAACACTTGATGTGCTGCCTGCGGTCTGGGGGATAACAGCCTAGAGCTGCCCTTAGCTGGTCAAAGTATTCCTTTAAGGCAAATGATGGAGAAACACCATCCAGCGCTGTATTGCTAGGATTTGGACCAGCTGATGAACTGTTGAAGGACTTGATAAGCTAGGATAGTTCTTGCGAGTAGTTTTTGCCCCACATTGCACAATTTTTAATGAAATAAGGAGATTTGGGAGAGTTAAACCAGCTAAAGTAAGGCAGCGATCTCACGGAGCTGCACACCCCCTTTGATGAATACCATCTTTTGTCACATTTCAGGTGTGAGCCTGAGCTGTGCCTTAGGCCGCATCAGGCTATTACCATCATTTCTGAAAGCTCAGCTTTTGTAGATTCACTTCTATGTGAAAAGTTCTTGAAAAGTGCAGCAGTCAGCAATTTTACGGCAAAGCCATTTTTCCCACAAGTATAATGTAATTAAGGGAGGGGGAATGTGTGCTGGAGTTTAAGAAATACAATTTAAATACACAGGGACAATAGCTATGACAAGGAGGATGGAGAGAGAGAACAGGATCATCACCTGGATTTTGGAGCCTGTCATTTTGCTCGCTGGTGAAGCTGGTCACTTTTTAAAATAGAAATCAAAAGAGGGATGCTCATCAGTGTGAGATTCAGATCATTAGAGATCTCAATGTGCGATCAAATCCTGTAATGCACCAGTGACCTCATCCGAACCCGTTTGGAGTCATCACAGGGGAGATCTCAGCCTCCTCCTCTACAAGACCAAATGCCTCATGTGCATCTCCCTGTGCGAGTGTTCTTACTGCCTCTTTCTGAATGGCTGCATTTTTGTTGTCATGGCCATCTCCCTCAGGCACCTGCTGCTTGTCAAGGTCAATCGAGTCACTCAGGAGTGAACCGTGGTAAAAAGGGGTTAAGGCAATGCTTAGCAGAGCAGGGTATGAAATGATGGGTCACAGAGGTCTCAACTGACGTACAGAAGCAACGGGGTTGATGTGAAAGGGCTGTTGCAGTGGGAGAGGCTGCTTCCACCTCAGAGCAGCCATGCAAATAGCCATGGGGTAGCCTACAGGGATCAGCCTCTAGTACGGCTTACAGGATAACCTATGGGATAGAGCACAAAATAGCCTAGAGGATAGCCTAGGAGATAGCTTCCAGGATGGTTGATGGGATAGACCGTAACACAGCCTAGGAGATAGCCCATGGGATAGCCCCACAGTGGCAAGGGCTCTCTCCTGGAAGACTTCAAGTTCCTGCTCCAAGCTGGCAGAGGGAAGGATGTGAAGCAAAGGCTTGTACCTCCCAAAAGAGTCACCTTGCTGCTGGCTCGGAGGGCATTAGGAGTACTGCTGGCTTCACTCTGAAAGGCCAGCCTGGCTCTGGCTCCCGGACTGGCTCCGGGACCCGCTCAGCCCTGCCAGCTTTTATAAATCCCTTTCGTGTCCTGCCTGCGCATTGCAGGGGCCGGCAAGGCTGCACGTCACGCTGTAGCCCGCAGGGTCACGTTGGCCTCCTCTGTGGGTCAGTTGTGCCACGCTCGGGTTGCGGCGAGGGCCTGGGGGTGGGCAGGGCAGGCAGCACCCACCCCCTCTGCCCCCTCTTCCGCCAGCCCAGCTCTCCCAGACTCCAGTGCAGAAGACACTGGGAAATGTTTTCGCAGCTCCTCCATCAGAAGCCTCAGACAACACCAAGAACTAACGCTCGCAGGACGAGCCGTTTGCAGCCGCCGTGTGCGCTTGCAGCCCATCAGGCAGCCCCTCCACTGCGAGGGCGGAGGAGCCACTGCCTCCAAAGCTCTCTCCCCTCTGTGACCGAGTGTCACCCACCGCCACCGCTCCAGCTCCCTACAGGCGCAGGCACTGCAGAACAGCACAGACACTCAGCAGATGGCATTTGGCATCCGCTCAGAGCATCAGCCGTCGGATGCTTTGCTCCCTCCCGGTTTTTGGCTGCACCTTCCCGTGGGAGATGCCTTTGCCAGGATACTTCACGTTCCCTTAAATAACAAATTCCTTCGCTCTGGGGGTGGCACGGAGGGCGTTGGGCGAGAGCACGGGCTTTACGCTTCCTTTGTGCTTCTGCAGCTTAGAGATTCAAAAAAAAAAAAAAGCTGCTGCTTTTTCTTTCTATCCTTGTAATGATAAATAACAGGAGAGATGTGGAAATTAAGCTGCTGAGTTTGGGCTGAGACAGTCCGAGCCCAGGCTGCCATGCGTGTCTGAAAGGACAATCCCAGAGCAGGGTGCAGCCGGGAGCCTGTCACACCACTGGCAGGATGTGGGCAGCTCACCAGAGGGTTGGCACTAATTAATAATTACGGTCTTATTTCAGCATAAAAACGAATGCCATCTCTCACCACCTCAATGAAGGAGGCTTTTACGTCCACCTGGGGGATAAGTGCCACTTGGTCTTGTGTGTTACAGGAGCTGGTCAGCCCCAGGGTCAGAGCTGTGATGGGGATGCCCAGCAGCTCTCAGCCCTGAAGCAGAGAGGGGTTGTTGCTATGGGAATGGAGAGGGCACTTGCAGACAGCATCTGGAGCCTATGTCTTTCCCTGTCCGAGGCAGCTGGATTTGGAGGAAAGCAAAACTAAAAGGAGGTGGCAGAGAGAGACAGAGGCACAGCAAAATGCATGCATGTTAGAGGAGGGACCTTCCCAGAATGAGAGTACAGTGGGATACAGAAGAGCGGGGACACCAAACTGTCAGGCAGCGGTGGCTCGGCTTGGTAGGATAAACCTTGTTTTCTACTCTGTCTGGCACTGGAAAAAAGTCCAGCAAAAGCCCAACTGCAGCGAGATGGGATCTGCCTCCTCAACTTACCGGCCCAAGTGTATTTATTTGGATATTGACGGAAGAATTCAAAAGGTACTTTTGCTGTTTTTCACCAAGTAGCGTCTCCGGACGCGGCGGCGGCTGCCGGCTCTGTTTGCTGCGCGACCTATTTCTGTAACGCGAGTGAGACGCGTGTTTGCGTTCAGCGCCGTTGCGGGCTCCGAATCAATTTTTAAGGGGAAGCAGGGGGGGGGATCTTGAGTGCCTTCTGCTTTGTACACAGATGTTTATTTAAAGGGGAAGGGGAGGCCAGCAGAAGCGGAGGGCTGGGCGCTGCCAGCTCTCGCTGCCGCTGTGGGGATCCTCGGTGTAGCAGCCACGCAGGCTTCCTCTCCCGGAGTAGCGTCGCAACGTGTTTACAGTAAAGTTTTGCCTGCGGAGAGGTTTTCACCCAAGCAGTGGGAGCCGGGAAGCGCAGCGCGCTGGGTTATTTGGAGATTGCCTGCTGGGGGGGGGCTTAGTGATGGGCGTTTTCCTACTGCCAAGCTGAATTGCAGACAGGTGCCTGGCTGCTGGGCGATGGAGTGTGCGGCTGCATTGCCGGGGGGGGGGCTGCGGGGTCCCCACCACCATCGCCAAGTTGTTCGTAAACAGCGATAAACGTTAATTAAAACTTTCGCTTCCATTAGCCTGCCTTGTTTGCTTAACCACGGTCCGCAGCACAGGGAAACCGCGGGGGAAACATATTCTGGCTAGAAGGGAGAGCTCGCATGCTGTCGAGCTGACAGCCCACTGCTTTTAAACAGAAACAATGCCGCTGCCTGTTTGTAAGTCGTCTAAAAAGACTTCTTTTTGTCAGCAATTCTTTGGCCAATATCCAAGTGCCTGTTTTGTGATAGAGTGAAAAAGGTCACAAGGCTCAAGAGCAAGTAAACTCTGACTTGCAAAATCCAAATCTCTCTCTCGTCTTCCTGCTCTAAAGTTTCCTTTCACCCAGCCTCACCTTTCATTTCTCCTTTAAAAAGAAATAGCAAAGATACCCTTTCCCTTCCCTTCCTTCCCCTTCGCTGTAAGAGTGACCGCAGAAACAAGGCAAAGGGAGAGCTGATACTCACAGTCCCGTCCCACCATACACGCCTCCGTTGCCGACAGTCCCTCTGCCACTGCCCTGGAGACTCACCGCAACTGCCAGAGTCCTGTCCTCAGGAATAAGACCTCAGAGAATCCAAATCTGCACCAGGTTTCCCAGAGCAGGCTGCTCCTTTTCATCTACCTCAGGGGCTTAGACGTGACAATGGTCCCCCTGCCACCATGAGCTCCTCCATGCTGACTCTGCTGAGCTGAAGGTGCCACTTCTCTCTTGCCGGGGCTTAATGAGTTGGTTGCCTGATGACCCCCAGAACCAAGGCTTGTGTGGAGCTCCCTGGCACCTTTGCGGGTCAATACAAAAACATTTCAGTATTTTGAAAAGATGGTGAGCATTCTCATAGATGTTGATAAAGCACAACATCTGTCATCTACTCTGGTTTAAAAAAAAAAATAGCATTTTGCAGATCTGGTCCCTGGAGAGTGCTTTTGACACTAATAACGCAAGAGAGGCACAATCACATGAACAAACAAATGCAAACTCAGGCAGAATTAAGGTTTTTTTGCTCGATAAACGTTATCTGTTTCTTTTGTCAGATATGAAATTCCATCTGTGCAATGCTTGGATGGATTCCTGCAGTAAAAGTGCCACATAAATGAGGTTCACCCAGGGGTAAGCAGGGCATATCTCAGATTCTCATGCTTCCTCAGTAACAACATCATTAGAAAGAGAAAAAAAACAACAACCCTTAATCTTCCAAGGAATGCAGTATTAGAGGCTTCCAAAGGGAACCTATTAAATCAATGCTAAGCTACTTGTCAGCCCAGTAATGAGGTATGAGCTTCATTATAACAGCACTTGTTGAGTTTGAAAGGGCTCAGCTCTAGCTTGTGACTGGCTTGCTGGACATTAGAGAGTCATGCAATAGAACTGGACATCCTACAATAGTGCTAATTGTGCTGACAATTATTCACAGGCAATTTTGTAATTCCACGACCTCATCCTGAATTTCTACTGATGCAGCCACAGGGCGTGCTACTGACTTTGGGACATGTTTCACCTTGGCACTGGAGTAAATGAAGGGACAAAGCAGACTCAGAGAGCTGCATGCCACCTCCCCAGGAACCAAAGCGTTGCAGATGAGCACTTGAAAGTGCCCTGCAACAGGAGCGTTGAATCAAGCTAAGTAGGTTTGTGTGTCAGCAGGTCCCAAGAGGCACAGCGGTGAGGGCAAAGGGACTCGGCGATGGTGTGAGGAGAGTTTTCTGGCTTTGAAACCCTTCTCAGTAGTCGTTAAAATTAAGGAGGCACTGTCAAGCAGAGGTTGAACGCCTTGACCATGCCCAAGGCCAGCAGGTCCTAGAGGAAGGGTTGAGGTCCATACCTGCAAGACCAGCACCACAAGCACCCAGGAGCCCAGTAGCCTCCTGCAGGAGGGCAGTGGAAGGCTGGGAGCAGAGGGAAGCCCAGCCCAGTGCTGCTGTGCATCACACTGGGGAAGCCAAGCCCTCACCTTAATAACTCCCTTGGCTCCTGCCCTTTCCCCTCGGCCCCATCCCACCTTCACCCGCAAAGGTTTGTCGTTTGTCCTAGTTTGATAAACTGACCTTTCAGAGGCACGGGCAGTCACAAAATGATCTCCACCAAAGTTGACGGCAGGGATGGACTCTCCTCCAGTAGGCAGAGTTGACTGAGCAACTCTCCATGCCGGGGCATGAGATGACCCACCCCGGCCCAGCAGACACCAACTGTGGAACCCCCACAGGCACTTGAGCTCAAGATCCTCAAAGGGCTGTCTTTTGTGACCACCAGAGAAAGGCTTCAGTAGCTGTGTCCTGGCCAATAAGCAGGGGCAGAGATGATCCATGGGCTGGAACACCTCTCCTCTGAAGACAGGCTGAGAGAATTGAGATTGTTCAGCCTGGAGAAGAGCAGGCTCCAGGGAGACCTTCTAGTAGCCTTCCAGTACCTAAAGGGAGCCTACAGAAAAGCTGGAGAGGGACTTTTTACAAGGGTATGTAGTGAAAGGACAAGGGGCAATGGCTTTAAACTGAAAGAGGGCAGATTTCAATTAGATCTAAGGAAGGAATTTTTTACATGGAGGGTGGTGAGGCAGTGGAACAGGTTGCCCAGAGAAGTTGTGGATGCCCCATCCCTGGAAGGGTTCAGGACCAGGGTGGATGAGGCTTTGAGCAACCTGATCTAGTGGAAGGTGTCCCTGCCTGTGGCAGAGGGGGTTGGAACGAGATGATTTTTAAGGTCCCTTTCAACCCAAACGGTTCTATGATTCTGTGATTCTATCATGGGGTCACCCGTGGGGAAGTCACCTGCCAAGCTGGTGGAGGTAGAGCCAAACATGAAGAAGGAGGTGGAGGGGACAGCCGTGCTAGGGCTGCTGGAGAGGGAAGATTAAAGGCTTTTTGCAGCATCACAGCTGTATGCCAAACCAGAGCTCTGTGCAAAACAGCTTCGAAGAGGACACTTGTCCTCGGAGCTGATTGAAAAATGAAGTTACAGCGTAATGCACTTCCTATCCAGTGCCTACGCAAAGGGGATGCACGCCTGGGAGAAACAAGCACTGCTCAGTTTATTTATTTCAAAGGATCCTCTCGCCCAGAGACACCCAGCAGTTCACTACCCGCTTGCCTGGACACACACCTCCCTCTGCGCTTCACACGCGTGCCCATCTTAGCACACCCGTGAAACAAGTCCATGTCCCACCCCTGCCACAGCCTGGTCTGCGGCCAGGCAAAGGAGAAGATGGGGTGGGGGGAAGCTGTGGCCATGTTTCATACAGGATAAGGTGATCTTGCGGTGCCACCGAGGATGGGAATTTCTCGTTTTGCCTGGAGTGCCGTAAGATGGGGTCAAGCACCCAAAACCCCGGCCCACCAGTGGAGCAGTGAGGTTTGCTATGCCAAACTTAAGCCGGATCTGCAGTCCTATTTTCCTTCATAACGTTATTAACCCTTTGGCTGCATTTTTAAGAAAAATTCCTATTGAGTCTGTTTCGAATTAAAAATCCACCAGCAAGAAAATGTTCCCCAGCTCATGCCCGATTTTTTTCCATGAAGGAAACTACTGGGGAGCATTTTCTTTTGACCTATGAGATTTAAATGGTAGCAGAGCTGAACCAGCCATTGGGCTTATTCCCAGGTGGGTGGCTTCATGGCTCTCATTTTTAAATGTCACAGGGTAGTGGCTTCGCTCACAGAGTTGTAAGGAAAAATGTTCTATTTGAGAGGATTACTGTTTCCAGTGTCTTAATCAACATCATATTTGTAACAAGGATGGAAAGTCAGAAGGGTACAGAGCCTGAACTAACTGGAAAAAAGAAAAGGACTGCCGACTTTGTCAAGGATTCAAGGACATCACTCAGGGTGGTATTTTCTTCCTCTTCAGAAAGCAAGGAAAGAATTTTGGAGTCATTTTGCTGGTTTACTGAGTCATTCTGGATGCCACACAGAGAAATTACCTTCTTTTTTTCCCTCAAAGAAATCTACAGAGTTCAACCTTTTCGAGTGTCTACTGACCTGTGGAGCAGGACACTGATCCATCCACAGCCATTGTTCCTCTTGGTCTAAGGTCCATGACGAACAGAACAAAGCTAAGACCATGTTTTGGTGCTGTGGTTCTTGCATTGAAGCGTCAGCACATAGGAATCGTATTCGTCATGTGAGCTTTTCTTTTTAATTAGGACAACAGCAACTGCGGTATAAATGCCTAGACTCTAGCAAACCCAACAGATTTTTGCAAAGCTCGCCGTGCTATTTTTAACACGCCAAACTGGATTCAGATTAAAAACAAAACACAGCAGAAAAATTATGGCATGATGATCAGTTCAAGGCAATTAAATGTTTTTGCATCCCTGTGACTCCATCGGCACAGCAGGGCAAGCGGCCCCTGTCTATCTGGACCATGGATTTAGGGAAATACCTTTTCAGCTGCTGACCATCGGAGGAGTGTGCAGAGGTGGGGTACAGGGACACCTCTGGGACCGCTCTGC